GCTTGAAGCTGAGCTGTGAAAACTGAACAGATTAGCAGCAATGAGAGAAAAATTCCTGCCATCTTCAATCTGAGTCTTTGCAGAACAATTTGTGGTTTCTGTGTTAAAGCAAGCCTTCTTCATTCATTTTGTACTATGGCCAGTTAATTATTAACAAAATGTGTTTTTTGTACCTCAGAAACACAAGAAGGAACAATCTCTCTGAACTTCATAAAGACACTGAAAGACTAAAACAGCCAAACATCCCGGATTTGTATAATTTTCTTGCGTCAGTTTTATAGCAATAGTTTTAATAAATCTATCTCGGTACAAGTCTTTAATACTTTATCCAGTGCACAAAATAAATCTAAAAACAGTCTCTCGCMTTGTTTTCTTTGGCTAAGATAAACAAAGTAAACAAAGATGATCAAATCAAAGTTTCAAAGAGCATTTGWTAAAGCCTGGAAAAGGTTCAAATCAGCAATTGTGTTATTTTCTATTTTTTTCCAATGTTTATTGTTGAAAATGTATTTATTTTTAAAAAGCATACAAAGATATGAAATGTTTCCTTTGCAGGGTTTCTTGGCTCTCCCTTTGAGATAGGGTGAGAAGCTCAGTCATCCAGGAGGGACTCAGAGTAGAGCCGCTGCTCCTCCACGTCGAGAAAAGCCAGTTGAAGTGGCTCGGGCATCTGATTAGGATGCAGGATGCCTCCCTGGTTAGGTCCCACTGGGAGGAGGCCCAGAGGAAGACCCAGGACASGCTGGAGGGACYATGTTTCTTGGCTGGCCTGAGAATGCCTTGGGATTCCCCCGGGGGAGCTGGCCCAAGTGGCTGGAGAGAGGGAAGTCTGGGTCTCTCTGCTTAGGCTGCTGCCCCCACAACCCTACCACGGAAAAGCAGAAGAAAACAGATGTAAAAAAAAAACAAAGTAGGGTCTGCTAGGAATGTCTGGCAGAGTCTCCCGTCAGACAGACMTCTGGGAAAACTTTGAACACATTCCAGGGGAGGTGGGGGACATTTAGTCTGAGTGGGCCATGTTCTGTGCCTCCATTGTCGAGGCGGCTTACCTGAGCTGTGGCTGTAAAGTTGTCAGTKCCTGTCATGGCGGCAACCCTCGAACACGCTTGGAGTCCTATCGTGTCTTTTGCTATCAGCTAAATTTCTTTTGGCTGTTTGGGGCAAAGACTTGTTCAGCTTAGATTAACRATCTGCTCACATTCTTTTGAGGACTCAAAATCGATCTTTTCTAGTTTTAACATAGTTGAAAAAGCAATAAAAAGGCAAAAACTTTGACAACTTGTCAAAATGGCTGTAAATAGGTCAATGGGATTTAAAGATTTGGAATTAAATAAGTCACAAAATGTAAAAAGCACACAGGTTTTATTGCATATCAATTTCATGTATAAATTCTTCATAGCATTGGAAAGATTACATTTGGTATACATTGCTATTCTACAGAATTAACATCAGAGTCGTATCTTTTCAATGAAATTTCTCTAAAGTACATCTGCAATAATCACAAGCATCAAAAGAACAGCAATTTCAGAATTGTTCAATATTATTCTACAATCTTTTATTGTTTTTCATTATGTCTTCTCCCGCAAGTCTTTTCTATGTCTTTCAGAGCCTGCCCGCACCTCTGTGAGGCAGTCAGAACTTGAAGTCAAACCTACTAACCTAAACACATGTACAATAAGTGCATCTACAGATTTATTTCTTTATTTAGTTTTTTGTTTTGCTTTTTTTTCTCAGATTTTTTTAAAATTTGATACACATTTCACAAATGGACATCATTATGACTGCTAAACACGTCATGCACAATAACTTTTTTGTTTGTTTTCAATAAACATAACAGATATACAACTCAGATTGAAACAAAACAAGCACCATCCATTGAAACCCATATTATTCAACATTTTTTTTCTTCAGACAAATGCACCAATGTTTTTCATTCTTTTAAAATACTATACAGTTTAAAAAGAAATCATGTGTATTTTTTTTACTTTCTTTTGTAACAGTGGGGCAAATAGCAACCATGTTTTGTTTTGCTGAAAAATATTTCAGTGACCAGAATATCTTCTGAAGTAACCAAAGTGGAGCACTTCAACGCCTTCAGTTTAATTGCTTTACACAGCGCGTACTTGTTACAGTAGTCCATGACATGAATAACTACATATAGTCAACCTAAAAAATCGTAGTCATCCAAGTTTTTACATTTTTAAACCACAAATTGAAAAACAATGTGTTAATCATGAATGGATTCTCATTCAGTAGAATTATATAAAAACAAGTCCTCAGAAAAATGAGATGACGCAGCAGTCCCAGCATCACATACCACCTGCTGTCATTAAGAAAAGATTACAGTGCTTTCTGTTCATTTTTTTTTTTATCAACGGAGCCTGATTGCGCTCAACCATTCAAAGTGAAATCAACTTGAAAATGCATCTGTGTTTTAAGTTTCACCATGAGAACAAAGCCGGATCAGTTTATGGCTTGGACCCATTTGGTTTAAGTGCTAGTTTGAAGGTACAGCATTAGGCCCGATTCTTGACAGTTTGCTGGGAGGGAAAGAGATCAGCAGTGCTCCGCACTGCCTCCCACACATCTCGACAGTAAATTAACCTAACCATCCACGGCACAAGCTGCARATTAAATGGAATGGGTTCTTAAAAATAATCCTAAGGGAAGAATGAGGAATTTAACTTCCATCTAGAATCAACTACAGTTGGTTTTCATCTTTTCATCTATTAGCAGAATTTAGATGTCCACTTTATTCTTTCAACGTGAGTCCTCTCTTTTCGTATAACCAATAAATCGACCATGCAGTTGTGATTGTGTGCTTTAGGCGTTTTAAATGGACAAATTATTACAATTAATACCAAACATTAAAAAGCTGTGAATGTGGTTTAAACTGATTCAGTGAGAACATAATGCCCTTTTATTGACATTCATAGTGATACTTGTTTAGGTCTGCCTAGAAAAACTGAGAGAGTGGAAATAAAAGAAACTAAACTCTGAAAGATGCATCATCACCAAACAAGGTTTTAAAACTAACTAYGCACGTGTTTAACTATAAATAAAAAACATTTTTCATGGGGTTTTTCCATTTTGGCACACTAGCCTACCAAAACCAGAGATTCAAAATCTCGCCCTGCATTTTGATAGGTGGATTTGTTTTTTCCTTCCAGAAAAGAGGGATGAAAATACTTTTCTTCATTTTCACTCCTTGAATCAAAACAGCAAAAACAATAAATACATACACACACTTCTCAAATCAAAAATATAAGTGTAACAAGAAGAGAGAGAGAGAAAAAAATGTGACAGCAAATGTGAGCTCCTTGAAAATGAAATGATTGTCAAAGAAAAAAACAACATTTTCTATGGGTTATTTGGCACATACCACTTTTGTTATGAACATCTATTTTTTGATATATAATATGACATTATCATACAATTTGGTCCTTCTCTAAAATAATTAAATTAATGTCTTTGCCCTGTGACGTCTACAAATAAACAATACTGCTGTATCTAATAGAAAAGTAAATACAATTAAATGATGATGCAGTACACAGAAAAAAAAATCTGGCTTTTTGTTAAGCATAATTTAAATTCATTTTCAATATAAACAAAATTTGCAACCAATTACAAGCGCTAGTGGCCCAGAAAGTTTATTAAAAACACAGTGGACATTGTTCTTCATGTAATCACTGACAATTCAAAAGTCTGCTGGATCTGAATATTTATATTTCGTGTGGTGCTGTTGTTGATTCTGAAAGAAAAGAAAACGTGGATAGGACCGCGCACACGCCCACTGTGTTCCTGCTCAAACAGTGCCACCTGGTGGACATGCAGTGCCAATGCTACAATGCTCAAATCAGGCATTGTACACAGACTTTAGAGACATTATCAGTCATTGTCTTTAGGAAAGCCTCCGACAGGGGGGGTCTGTGATGCTGCAGTGAGCCTTGTGCACTTGAAGGAGCATCAGAGTAATGCAGAGTCTCAATGCTTCRAAAGAAAAGCATTCATCAGGTCCTTCACATCAACAGGAGCTTAGCAGTGCTTTCTCTTAGACAGTCTTGCGGGACCCCTCACAAAGGGACACTCCTATCTCACTCACACAAACACACAACACGCACTCATTCGCTCTATCTTGAATGTAAGTGACAATGAATTCTTCTCTGGCCTTCATGTCTTCCCACTTGTGTCTTAGCCTCTTGTTTCCATCGGTTTAGGAGACTCAAGTTCCTCCAACTGTTCCTCCCACCATTTCTCTTTGCTTAGATATGGTTGAGTGGGTGGAAGCTGCCCGTCTCAGACGGTCCACCTCCCATGCTCAGCCAAGCGTCCAGAGAGTTCTGGGAGGGAGCGTGCAAAGGGTTGTTCTCTGAGAGCGACAGCATCATTGCATAAGCCTGTGAAAGAAAACAGGTGGCTTTTAATAAAGGATAATKTCGGATTCATCGTATATAAATATAAATATTTCTCTTAAGCCAATGGCTTGTGGAGAAATCAAAATATGTTTTTTTGTTGGTTTCATCTATACAACTCTTTGCATTGCTAGACCATTTGACCCCTTTGCAGTATCACTGCACCGTTCCATAAAAACTTCATAACACAATTTTTTATTCCTCGTATATTGTTATAATATGTTGTAGGCTTTCATATAGGTACAAAACACAGCATTAAATAAAATCAGTCCAGTAATATAGAGTTTTTTTTTTTAACCTGCTGGTCAATGCAGTTTAAATACAGAATGTCACAGAAAAGAAAATGTTTATTATGTTAAAATGTTWGTAAGTTACAAGAGAGGAAAATGCTTATTTAGTGAAATATGTGCTCTATTGCTACTGTAAGAGTTCCTGAAAATGTGTAAGAATCTATATTATCCTTATTCAGGTATTCAAAGAAAATAAACCATTTTTTGCATCTTTCTATTTGTTTGAAAATCTACATCCCGAACCCATCACATACCTGGGTTTTAGCCTGCCTGTATAATGTCTCTTTCAATGCCTCAGACTCTAGTGACGTGTTAAAAATGTCTTTAACATCAAAGGGCTGCTCGTCAATGGCTGCTTTACGTAAACCCTCCAGGCTCTTAGGAAAGCTGGGCAGACCCTCCAGGTCCAGGAGAGAACCCTCCTCCTCTATACACCTGCACACCGAGTCATGGATGGATGGATGGATGGATAGATGGATGGATGGATGGATGGATGGATGGATGTATAGATAGGAGGGAGGGATGAGGCAGTATAGAAGGATGTGTAAATAAATAAAAAATATTTGAATTGTACGGATGAAATGTTAATGAGTTTAAGAAGGAGAAAATGTTGAAGGATGTAAAAATGAGGTGGTGTAAGGTGAAAAGAAAAGGAAAAAGTAGAATTAATAAAAAAAGTTACAGGAAGAAAAAACAGACTTAAAAAGACGCTAGAAGTCTGAAAAGAAAGTGAAAAAGCTGACTGAACAGGAGCTAAATATATAAAAAAACATTTTTGAATAGCTGAATATCTGTCAGTTCCCCAATGTATTTGGGATGGTTTAATATTGGATTGAATTACAATAAAAATAATTAATGATAATAACTTCTGTTTAAAATTGTAAGACAAGATGCAATATTTTATGTTTGCTGAGTTTGCTAGGAGTAAAGTTTGACACCGTAACCCAGRGCTGGCCCTAGCCAATTTGGGACCCTAGGTAAGATTTCAGGTGGCACTCCTCATGCAATTTTCTAAATCTCACTGCCAGTTTACATACATTCACATACAAAATTTATTAGTTTGGTCTTTGATATTATGTTTTATCTTTAGAAACCAGGTTGTCCAAATAAAATAGTTAATATAACTCATTTTAAAAATAACACCAGAAGTCTACCTCATACCTGCCAACATGTACAGACAGCACCTGTTCATGTTAACAAGCAGCTGTGGAGTGAAGCAGTTCT